ATTGAAATATTAAGGTTTAGATTGGTTGGTTCGCTCACATAGGAGGGTAAGTGTGGGTGCCAGTCGCGGCCCGGATTTGGGTCGTGACATAATGTGTCTAGGTTCATTAGTTAATATATTGTTATAATTAGTATTTAGTATTATAATTATCTAACAATTTAATTGTTTTCATCATATGAAATTGTGTTTTTTTATAACCCGAAGTCTAATACTTACATATTTTAAGCGTAACTAAATTTGAGTTCGCGCTGAAAAGTCTAATCGAGTAAAACACTCACTCAAAAGCTTTAATCATGCTTTTATTCTTTGGCCACCTTTACGGGCATTACTCATTATTAAGGCATTACTCTTTATTAATTTCTATTATCTTATGGACATTGGAAGTTTTTCCATGCATTCGCGTGAGATTATTGATTGTTCGATTATTAATCTATAGATTATTCACAGTTAATTATGAATTTGGTTATTTTTAAAAAAAATTATCCTGAACAATGCGTATAAATTGATAAATTATATCTTGCTCAAAAACAAACAATCGCATATTATAGAATATTTAGAGTTTGAGACAAAACTAAAAATAAAAGTATGAATCTAAATCCCAAGTAAAGGAGTTTTCATACCAAATGGTAATATCTATAATCTATTAAAAATACTACATGTCAAGAAGTTACTTCAAACCAATCAAAAACTGATAATTCAGTAATAATAAAAAATATCAAAATCATTAGACAAAATAGTTAAACTAATAATCCATTATTAATAAATAAATAAATTTTTCTTATAATTCAAATTAGCGATTTAATTTAATTTTGAATAAACCTACTTAAAAGGGCCGGACTTCCCCGTCAAGTAATAATTAAAAATCGACTTTTTGCTTGTATCAAGATTTGATTTTTTAAAAATTAAAAATATGAGTATAAAATTAAATTTCTTTCATGAAACTACTCAGTGATGTCCATTCCATTGATGAGCTACGTGTTAACCCCACTAGTGACTTTAGTCCGTAAAAGACAAAGAGATCCAACTGGTTAAGAGTTATGTAAAAATTTAAATATCTATGTATTAATTGTCAATTTTATTTATTATCTTAAATAAAATAATACATAAATTTTATAATAATTAACTTGTACATTTACAAATTACACATAATTATAAACTAAACCAAACGACCCTTTAATGTGCTAATTTTATGCATAACAATTAAACCATCCTTTATACTAGTCTCATCCATAATTGCTGCTCACGATAAGATCATACATTCACCTAAAGGAAATTTAATATATGATGTAATTTAATTAATATTATTCTACTGTATCAAAAATATATAAAGTCTACATAACTTTTCAATTAAATAAAATGGAATAATTATCAAGATCAGAATTGAAAAAATGATTAATTATTTCATACACTTGTTCAGCTCTTATCACTAATTTTTTTTCAGTCAATGTTTTCCTGACTATTGTTGTTAGCGTACCAGTGTTATCTCGAAATAGCACATGCAGTTGAGACAAGAAGTAACTGTATATTTGCAATTAATGAAATAGACGTATTTGATTATTATTATTTGAGTTTTTTTTTTATTATTATTATTTCATTTTTCTTTTCGTCTTTAGCGTAAAATACGAGAAATTAAAAAAAGTTTGAATGAAGAAAAAACTAAAACTATTTCTTTTTGCAGCTATGTTGTAATTTAGTTTTTATATCTTTAAACTATTTTCGGAACATTCATAATAAACTTTATATGAAAATAATCGAAAAAAATAAATTTAACCATAAATATAAATTAGCCGTTGAATTATAAAAAGGAAAAAAAAAACTTGTGAGAAGGATACAATATAATTATTATTGAAGTTAATTTTTGTAGAGGAAATTGGTATAAGTAAGTCATTTTTGTAAGAATAGGATATATATACTCCCTTTTCCTATTTTATATAGCACTTTTCGCATTTCGAGATTCAAATAAATATATTTTTGACGGTAAGTTTTTCATAGATTCTTTTAGCATTTTTAATTATCAATTATTGTAATTTCTAGTACTTTTTACGTAGTTTACAAATATATAAATTACATTTCAAAAAATTTGAGAATTCCATACGCATTGTTCGGTCAAAGTTTAACTGTTTGACTCTCGAAAAATGAAAAAGTGTCACATAAAATAGGACAGAGGAAATATGTAATATGAATCATTTTCGAAACAACGTAAATTTGACTTGAATCCCAAGATTGTGCATGAATGAAAATTTTCCCCTTACGTGTGTATCTGCTCTCTGTTTGAATTGAGATGAAGGATCAAGTAGTAACAAATGTAGAATAAAGGCATAATCAACATGGTTAGTTGACTCAAGCATATTAGTGGCTTAAAGCAAAAATTAAATGGAGTATTAAACTTGAATTGTTAATAACCTTTAAGTAATTAATTTTTTCTAGTTTTCAACTGTTAATATAATCATTCTTATTTTAAATTATTTTTTATGAGATATAATATTCCAAATATGTCATATTTTTTCTAGTAATTCATTCATTTTTCGTGAAATAGTTTACTTTTTAAAATTAGTATTCAATATTTGTTAAAGAATAATAACTTATAAGGTATTATTTTTAAAAATGAGGCCCCTTAGATTTAGGGGCACAAAATACATGCCTTTTTTTAACACTATTAAAGGACAGATTGAAAGGTTAAGACTTGTAATAAGATTCCAACAGTTTCCTTCATTAATTCATACACAGAGAGAAACAAGAAGATAAAGATTTAGTGTAACCATTTCCTGGAAATGAATAATCGGTTAGAGCGGATGAAGCAATTGATAATGAATCTTCGTGAGAGTAGTAATCTGGAAGACGTTCTTATTCAACTCAACAGCTTCATCAACTGAAGCAATGCGCATGGATCTTTTGATTCCACTTGTGGAACTCTGAACTTACACTTGTTGGG